TGAAACTAAACCCCAGGTACTGCCTTATCAGAGTCAACCTTGTACAGCCATTTGCAAGAAACAAGCTGCAATGTTGGAGCAGGAGGTGATCTAGCCAATAGCAAGCCTTGGCAACCTGGGAAAGAGGAGCCAGTCTGCTGACTCTGGTGTCCTTTACTTTGCTAGATGAAGATAAGGATCTTAGAGGTAACACACAAGTAACATTGCAGCCTGCCCCAACTCCTCAGCTGATGCTTGGAGAGGTTCATTTGAGTTAAGGACATTTCCTGTTAAAATACAGACCTGCCAGTCAACTATGTCCCATGCAACCAGGTGTTAAGCAATTTTCAATTTTCTTTCAAAATCAATTTTCTTTTTGCTTTTGGGATTGGTGGTTACAATCCAACTACTTCCCTCCCAGCTGAGATCTGCTGGGGAAAAGGAGGGGATGGGACAGTCATTTTTTAAATTATTATTGTTATTATTCATTTTTGGCTGTGCTGGGTCTTCGTTGCTACTTGTGGGCTTTCTCTAGTTGTGGCGAGTAGAGGCCAATCTTTGTTGCAGTGCCCAGGCTTAGTTGCCCCATGGCACGTGGGGTTTTCCAAGACCAGGGATCAAACCCATATCCCCTGAATTGATAGGCAAACTTCCAACCACTGGACCACCAGGGAAGCCCAGACAGGAATCTTTACAGTATCTATTAATGTGGAAAATTGTGTCAGGCCAAGGATAGATTCAGTCATTCTTGAATCTATCAATGAGAATCACACATGCAGAAGCGGGCACATGCAGATACATTCACTACAAATTTGTAAGGAATGGCTAAGAACTATAATAGAGCCATCCCATGGATTACCATGCAGTAGCTAAAAAGAGCAAGAGGAATCTATATGGTTTGCTAGGCTGGATTTCTAAGATACATTGTTGAGTGAAAAAACAAAAACTCAAGTGGTACAACAGGTACAGAATAATCTCTGTTATATACAATATACAGCTAAGCCATCCCACAAAATAACACTCTGTATTTTCTGTAGGTACCTATCTGTACATGTGAAAGCCTAGAAACAGGTTTTAAAGGGTTGAGAAGCCAACCCTGCACTCCCCAAAGAAGGTAACAGCAGATACATCCAGATCAAAAGGACTAGAGTTGAGGGAGGGTGGTCAAAGAGACTTTAGCTTTATCTCTAAAAGGAGAATATTTTTATAAAAGGGAATTCCCTGGTAGTCCAGTGGTTGGGACTCTGTGCTATCACTGCAGAGGACGCAGGTTCCATTCCTGGTCTGGGAAGTAAGGTTCTGCAAGTAACACAGTGCGGCCAAATAAACAAAAGGAGTGTCTTTGCATATCACTTGCTGCTGCTGTTCAGTCATGTCTAACTTTTTGCAACCCCATGGACTGCAGCATGCCAGGCCTCCCTATCCCTCACCATCTCCCGGAGCTTGCCCACATTCATGTCCATTGCCATCAGCGATACCATCCAGCCACCTCATCCTCTGACACCCTCTTCTCCTTCTGCCCTCAATCTTGCCCAGCATCAGGGAATTTTCCAGTGAGTCAGCTGTTCACATTAGGTGACCAAAATATGGGTGCTTCAGCTTCAGAATTATCCTTTCAATGAGTATTCAGGGTTGATTTCCTTTATGATTGACTGGTTTGATCTCCTTGCAGTCCAAGAGACTCTCAAGAGTCTTCTTTAGCAACACATCACTTATATAAAGAGCCTCTTGATGAAAGTGAGAGAGGAGAGTGAAAAAAAGGGCTTAAAACTCAACATTCAAAAAACTAAGATCATGGCATTGAGGCCCATCACTTCATGGCAAATAGATGGGGAAACAATGGAAACAGTGACAGACTTTATTTTCTTGGACTCCAAAGTCACTGCAGGTGGTAACTTCAGCCTTGAAATTAAAAGATGCTTGCTCCTTGAAAGAAAAGCTATGATAAACCTAGAGAGTGTATTAAAAGCAGACATTACTTTGCCAGCAAAGATCTATATAGTCAAAGCTATGGTTTTTCCATAGCTTTGGGCTTCCCTGGTGGCTCAGATGGTACAGAGTCTGCCTACAGTGTGGGAGACCTGGGTTTGATCCCTGGGCCAGGAAGATCCCCTGGAGAAGGAAATGGAAACACACTCCAGTATTCTTGCCTGGAAAATCCCATGGACAGAGGAGCCTGGCTGGCTACAGTCTGTGAAATTGCAAAGAGTCAGACATGACTGAGCGACTTCACTTTCTTTGTTTCTATGGTTTTTCCAGTGGTCATGTATGGATGTGCATGTTGGACCATAAAGAAGGCTGAATGCCGAAGAATTGATGCTTTTGAACTGTGGTGTTGGAGAAGACTCTTGAGAGTCCCTTGGACTGCAAGGAGATCAAACAAGTCCATCCTAAAAGAGATCAGTCCTGGGTGTTCATTGGAAGGACTGATGCTGAAGCTGAAGCTCCAGTAATTTGGCCACCTGATGCAAAGAACTAACTCATCATAAAAGACCCTGATGCTGGGGAAGATTGAAGGTAGGAGGAGAAGGGAACGACAGAGGATGAGATGGCATCACCGACTCTATGGACATGAGTTTGAACAAGCTCTGAGAGATGGTTAAGGACAGGGAAGCCTGGCGTGCTGCAGTGCATGAGGTCACAAAGAGTCAGACACGACTGAGCAATTGAACAATAATGGAAATGAAAATATTATGATCGAGAGTGTGGTTAGCTGTAATACTGACCACAAGTTTCTGCCACTCTTCTTATTCTCCTCTGTCCTGTCAACATCAAGCTTAGTTGACAAGACAGGTTTTGCTCTGACCAATGAAAGGTGAGCAGAAACAGTGAGCATCACTTCTAAGCAGAAGCTTGGGGAGCCAATGCGTGAGTCAACATGCTCTTTTCCCCTCTGCCATGAGACCAGAGATATCTCAAATAGAGGTTGCTCCATCAGCCTGGATCTGGGGGTAGATGAATGTGGAGCCATGCTGCCATTGACCCTTGCTAAGGTGCTTCAGTCGTGTGCAACTCTTTGCAACCCTATGGACTGTAGCCAACCAGGCTCCTCTGTCCATGGGATTCTCCAGGCAAGAATACTGGAGTGGGTTGCCATGCCTTCCTCCAGGGGATCTTCTCGACCCAGGGATCGAACCCATATCTCTCACATCTCCTGCACTGGCAAGCAGGTTCTTTACTGAGCCACGCTGACATTTGAGGGTTGTTGTAATATGTAATTCAGCAGGAAATAGACCTTTGCTGCCATAAGATACTGAGACTGTGGTGCCATTTGTCACTTCAGTGGAGCCTGACCTGTACTAGCCTGTATATCACTAGCGAGTCCAGAGATAGGAGGAGAGAGCAGGCAGGAACTCCAGTGCAGAGGGTACAGGGGTAGAGGGAGACAAGGTTTAGAGCCAGACAGACAGGGAGGTCCTGGGTGGAGGTGAGACGTACCCTGAGGAAGACACCATTTTTTTTTTACTTTGCCCTAAGATCTTGTCCTCAATTGCCTTCTGACAAAAGAAAACAATTTCAGTTACAATGTGTTATCTTTTATCTGACGGCACTTGTTATAGGCAAACTGGCAGATCTTCACAGGGAAGTCCTGGGAACTTACTGAGAAAACACCCCCGGAGTGTCTAGGCTTAAAGGTGGCTCCATCTTCCGAGCCGTGTTAGCAGGGCACGCCAGCTGTGCATTTCCAAATGGGGCTATGGTTACCTATTCCAAAGCCATTGTGACTTAGAGAAAGCTAAAATCAAGAAAGCAAAAAAACAAATAAAACCTGATGGCAAAAAGACTTGACACTATCAATCTGCCTCAGATCAGAGGGTAGCTAACACCCCGCCGGACGGAAAATGACTCACATGAGGTCATTGACTCAGTCATGTCTCTCATTTAAATTCTGAATGATAGGAAAGAAACGAGCTAATGGGCTACAGGGCTTGGCAGAAAGGGTTTGCTGTGAGACCAGAGCTGCGACGCTCAATGTCCCACCAACTACAAGGCCTTGGGTAAACTACTGAATCAGCTCACCTTGAGCCTGACTAGAAAGGGTCAGGAGATGAGTGTGGTTAATATCTCTGGGCCTCAGTTTCCTTATGTGTAAAATGGGCTTAAGAGTACACACTCTGTAGAATTCACGGGTACACACAGTGAAGGGTGGGGTGGAGCAGGACAGCATAGCTGGTGTGTGAAGTTAAGACTGGTGATGATGGCTTGCTGAATGAGGGGACACCAGCGCCTCACACAGGGTCAACAGGGAGCTCCCCCCCCATCCAAACTCTCTCTTTGAGGAAGTGAACACCTAGGGGTGATTTCAACTGAAAGTACAATTTCAATACACTCACACAAAGCAGGTGAAGTCACAATATTTATTATTTACAGATCCCAGAAATGGGGGTGGGGTGGGGGTGTGCAGTGAGCAGGGGCAGCGAGGGCAGTCCTCTGTTCCAGGTCACAAGTGAGCAGGGGATGAAGAACAGGACAGCAAGCAAACACCTATTCCTTCTAAGGTGTTGGGGTGGAGGTCACTAAATTTTCACAGGCTCAACTCTAGAATGGTTATTCTAAAAGATGACCAGGAAGAAGCAGGGACTTGTGGTGGGAATCCTAAGCACGGGTCTTTATCATAATGTCCAGACTCTGGGTGTGAGCAGAGCTGTCATACCATGAAATGCCTAGGCAGCAACCCAGCATAGCTGTTTTTCATCACAGTGAGGTGGCAGGTTTAAACAGCCCTGTATGGAGCCTAGCGTGCAGCGGACTCTCAGTGAACATTCATTCCTACCCCTTTTCCATTCCCTGAGCCTCAGGAACAGGTTGCAGGAAGGACGGCCAGGAAGCATAAAGGAGAAGAGAGGAGTATCATGTCCCCAGATCAAACCAACCATTGTGGGTGAAAGGGCTTCATCTCTCCCACAGCCTGCAGAAGGAAGCAGCCTCAGAAATTAGCCCACCCAGCATTCTTCCATACCCTAGTGCAAGTGGGTGAAAGGGTAACCCACTATCTCCCCTGGGCACCATCTTCCTGTGGCTCACCTACTCCTCACCATCCCACCATTGAAGAGCTGACTACCAAAATTTCCAGAAGGTTGGCTCACTTCCCTCCACCTATCTCCAGAGCTGGGGGTGAACCAAGGCCACAATACAGGCCCAAGGCCACCAGTCAGCTCAGAGACCTGTTTCAGAGGGGACAATTCTAACAGCTGGGTGGCCAGCAAGCTATGTGCTTTTAGTGAGTTGTTCCTAATTCTCCAACAAAGCTTGTCTTCCTGCTGTGAATGGACCAAGAAGACATCCAGGGGATTCCTCTCTGCCCCACATGTCAGCTTGAACATTCACCTGAATGCAAGTTAAGGGCAAACATGGGGCCCTTTGTGCAGTAGACTTTGTGCAGGTCCTTTGCTTCTTGGCCTATAAAAGCCACTGGCCAGTCAGGAGCAGAGCCTGCTGAGGACCAGGTGGGGCCAGCCCGAGAGCTTGGGCTATCACTTTCAAAGGAATTTTTATTTCTGAGTGGCAAGTGGTCAACTTGCCCAGTGGTCCTTGACATCTCTTGCCACTTCCAAGGACCTTGACTCAGGCTTCAGTTGAGCTTCTACAGTAGAGTAAGTGTTGACGTGAGGGAGAACTCATCCATCCCCCATGCCCATCCAAGCACCAGATGGAGTTGATCCCACCCTCCACTTCAAGGAGGGCATGGGACTTGGGGCTGGTCACTCATAGCATTCCATATTCTTGGTTTTAGCAACTGGAGACACCACTCAGAAAACCAACAAAGTCATCGAATTGCAGTGTGATTTCTGCTGAGACTGCTGAGAAGTAAGTAAGTTCATTATAATGAATTTGACTATGGGAAAAGACAAGCCTGGAGGTACTCAGGGCCAAATCTAGAGAGGGGACAGTGAAGTTCACAAGCATGGACTATAGTAAAGAGAACGTAGCTGGTGATACTGTTTGCGTACCTGGATCAAACCACGCCTGATTTATCCTTGCAATTTGTAGCTACATTAGCCAATACATTCTCTCTTTGATTTAGGCCAGTTTGAGCTAGTTCCGTGTCTTAAAGTAGTGATAGTTCTCACTAACATATCTTCAGTTCTTTGGGCCCTCCTTTGATTTCCACTGTGGACATGTCTGAGTTTGATCAGATTTCATCTTCATAGGTCTCCAGCTTGGGACTTAGCTTTCCTCTGGACTCTGCTCCTTGAGCACATATAATACGGTTTACAAGCCCTTGGCTGAATGCCTGACTTTGACTCCAAGAGCTCCAGTCTGTCTTTATCTACCACTAAGTGTCAACTACCATGGAAAACCTACTCAATCCATCTTCACTCTTCCAGTCCAGGCAGTTGAGACTCTGAGCTCAGAGACAGAGAAAGGGCAGGAAAAATGTCACCATGTACCCAGAGGAGGAAGATGAAACCAGTTTCTACACCACAACCCAGCACTAGGACATCAGGACCCCTGCCCTCTGAGCCAGATTGGAAAAGGCCCACGAGACTGCACATGATGCTCCCAGCTTATTCCAAGGCCCAGACAAGTAGGCACTCCTGTTGCCCACAGCCTGGATCAGCCTGGGAAGCATGAACTCTCCCTCAGGGAGGCCATGAATGGTCTTCACTTGCTCATTCCCTCTTGCAAATGGTCACTGAAGAATGTCAGCTTGATTTTTCCCTGATAGTGATCATGGATCATGGACAGAGAGCCCACCCTTCCCCTAGACCTGTCTCTTCCGCTGTTCTCCTTTTAGACATCAGAGACATGCATTCTAGGATTCCAGAACCTGAAGTAAGATGACATGGCAACCTCCGCACTCTCCCCAGCCCTACCCAGCATCACCTACATGAACAACAGGGGAAGCCCGATGAGAATCAGCTGAGGGCAGAATCCACACCACTGCAACTGCAGCAGGAAGGAAGATGGTCACAGCCCCTTTATGAAATGAGCCACAGCATCCAGAATCCTCGAGGAGCAGGGGAAGTAAAAGAGCCTCATGTCAATGGTGGTCAACACTCCATGGAAACCATCCTCCATGTGGTACCAAGTCACTCTAACCCCCAGGTCCTCCAACCGCTTCTTGTACAACAGCGACTCGTCCCGAAGTACATCGTACTCACAGCTCACGATGCAAGCTTCAGGGAGCCGAGCCACTACTTCATCGTCTGCAATCAAGGGTGAGTTCATCACATCCAGAATGATGTTTGTCTCCAGATAGGCAGCCTCATTCAGGGGCTCACGGGACACAGGCAGGTAACCTCTCTTCTTAAACCTGTCCGGGATGTTTTCTGCACCCAACCACTTCCTGTACTTTTCCCAGACTTCCGCAGGCAAGTGGGCGCCTTTCAGTACAGCGCTTCTCCAGGAGGGGCTGATGTCCAGGTAACCACACCAACAATAGAAGGTCAAATTCTGGCTGAGCAGCGGCATGTTCTTGTTCTGCTGATAGGAAGGGGACTGGAAATCCAGGCTCTGGACAGTGGAATAGATGAGGATCTGAGCACGAATCTTGGGGAGATCAGAACGGTCCACAAGCTTTTGACAAAGAATCGTTGCCACGGTCCCGCCCACACTGTCACCACAGACTATGATCCGGGCTGGATCCACCCCAAACGTATTCAAGGACTTCAAGAAGTGGATTGTACCCACCATGCAGTCTCTTACTACCATTGGAAACCTATGCTTAGGCACCATGCGGTATCTGAAAAGGAATCAACAAATATGGTTTACACTCACCATTCCCACAGGGCCCCAAACACCTGTGTCTAACATCCTTCTGCCCATATTTCTTCTATTAAGTTCTTTTTCTGAAGCTTGAGAAGGTGAAGTCAAAGTAGAAGGCTTAAATGAGATGACAGACGAAGCCTTCAATGCCCAGGCACGTAAGCTCAGAAACATCTGAGGACTGACTTCTGTCAATTTTACTTACTTCACTGGCTATATCCCCACCAAGGTGTTGGCAGTGGATATCTCCTCCTTGCATGTGCATTTAAATGAAACTGCAGGAAGAGCTTGATCAGAAGGAACCATCCAGGCCCTGGGTGATGATGTGTCAGGCAGCAGGCAGGAGACCCAGGGAGGGTCTCTCCAGGTGTCTCCGTGCCCTGTTGAGGTTCCAGATCGTGTGGTGACTCGCCCAGATACGTTAGGAGAGACAGTGGCTTTTTCATTTTTCCTGCCTCCTTCAGTGGGTCTCACCAGGGTGGACCTCCCTCTCCAGAGCACTTGGAAATGATGTGGCACTGTTTGAGGCTGTCCTGGTTACAGCGCAGGGCATTGTGCGCATTTGGTGGAGGGAGGTAGTCAGTGTGTAGAAGGTGCAGGACTATTCTGTTCCAAGTAGTGTTCCACCCAGACATGCACTGGTAGTGAAGCTCTGCCCTGGATGTACTTTGCAAAGACTACCCAGATGCACTTTGCAAATACCACCCCCTATCCAGTTTCCAGAGGCTGCAATGCTCTAAAGGCACCCTTTAAAGATACCCAAGGGCCACCGCAGGAGGAATGCCCCATCTCCGCCTCTCCCTGCTTCTCCCTTCCCCTCTCTCCTCCTTGCCCTCCTGCTCACCGTCCCCTCACAGCCTCTGCTCCTGGCATCCCTCAACACCTGCCTGCCACAGACTCCTGGCTCCCTCCCCTTTATTGCCCCGGGGCTCCTGGAATCCCAGCATCTCCGCATCCTTGCCTTACTCACCCAACTGCTAGAACCACTGCATCACTCTTCTTGCACAAGTTACAGCATATGCCATGGTGTGTTTCTAGAAAATAAAAGGTTTGAAATGTTCACGCTAGGGAGGTTAGTGGGCTCCTTTTGCCAGCCATCCTCACCTGCCCCTTCTTAAGGATAACCTCAGAGGTCAAAGGGCCAGGCTGATTCTAATAAGGTTTTGCAGATCCTCCTCCAGCTGTAGTCAGCCTCCCTCTCTACTTTCTCACTCTCCTCTGTCAAGCTGTCTCAACAGCTTTCTCTAAGACTCACCCCCACCCCCCACCTGCAACCCTATCTGTTCTACAGTACATTCACAGCATCTGAGAAGATGTCTGACCGTGGAGTACAGTAGTTCAGTGGGTAAGCTATAGATTCAGACCTGAGTTCAGATCCCAAGTTTTCCTCCTTTTAGCTTGACCTAAAGTTGTACCGGGCAGGTCCCTTCACCTCCCTGAGGCTTGATTTCCTCTTCTGTAAAATAGATATAACGACAATGATAGGGCTGCTGGGGACTCAGATGAGATGCTTCCAATATATATTGGTGCAGACAAATACTGCTTGATTCCACTTACATGAGGTACATAGAATATAGAACAGTCAAATTCATAGAATCAGAAAGTACACTGGTAGATGCCAGGGTCCAGGGGGTGGTGGGAGGAGAAATGAGGTCTAAGTGTTTAATGGGGACAGAGATTCAGTTTAGGAAGGTGAAAAATTCAGGAAATGGATGATGGTGAGAGTTGTACAATGTGGATGTATTTAGTGCCACTGAACTGTACCAATAAATATGTTTTATATTATGTGGCTTTTACTACAATTAAAAAAAATTTTACAAAAAAGATTATGGTTCTACACAGATTTCATAGTATCTTCCATGTAAATATTAATATTAATAATGTCAACAAATAGATATTGGCTCACTATCATTGATTATGTAAACCAAAACAAAACCACAGTTGTATTAAATCCCTTATTCTCAAAGTCTACAGCAAAGGGACCCTGGCATTCCACAGATCAAGAAGTACTATGTAAAGGTGGTTCTTCTCCCTAATTTCTCCACAATGGAAAAAATTAAGATATATAATAACATTGACCCAATTTTGCACTCATTTCCCTCCTCATTAATTTTCCTCAACTCTTTGGTCCTCCTGTCTGGCTGTACCAGAAATTTGTCTCAAGCAATACCTATTGTGAAACACACTTGAGTTTTCATTGTTTTTAATCCTTATTTACAACTAAATAGAGGTGGTGGTCACACATTTGAATGTACTAAATACCATTGAATTGCACAGTTTAAAATGGTGAATTTTATGTTATGTGAATTGTGTGTGTGTGTGTGTGTGTGTGTGTGTAGGGAGAGAGAGAGAGAGAGAAAGAAAGTGAAGTCGCTCAGTGATGTCTGACTCTTTATGACCCCGTGGACTGTAGCCTACCAGGCTCCTCTGTCCATGAAATTTTCCAGGCAAGAGTTACTAGAGTGCGTTGCCATTTCCTTCTCCAGGGGATCTTCCCAACCCAGGGATCAAACCTGGGTTTCCCGCATTGCAGGCAAACGCTTTACCGTCTGAGCCACCAGAGAAACCCTTAATATGTATGTATGATATGTATACATATGTATATGATCTGGGC